CTAATAGAAAATATCCCTAAATGAGTAATTGGTATATTAATTTATTTAAATATGCGTTATTAAACTGTCAACTAAATTGTGTAAAACCGATTGCAACTATTTGTTGATGACTTGATTAGAACATATTTTTTTGTAAACGTTCTTCTTTAGTACGGACCTACTGTCTGCGAACCTTGGCTTCATCGTTATGCATAGTATAGCGTTGAATTTTTCCGAACTTTTCAGGATGCTCATTCTTGTTACTCCCTTTGAGGCTCTTTTCCTGCTTCCTACATACCGACTATACACTTGAAAACTCGAGATAGGTCCTGAGTTGCCAAAGCAATTGAAAAATAAGGAAGAAAAGTATTTTCAGAAAAGAAAAGTAGATAACTAAAGCTTCGCTCGCTCAAATCGATCGCTGTAAAATTCAACCTCTAGATTGTGTTACAACATAGCAAAAATCTAATTGGTAATTTTCCGTGCTCTCATCAGCGTTTTAACTCTTCAAAATACATCGACATGGTATTATTGATAATTCTGTAGATTCAGCTCGTTGAAATTTTACGTTACCAAGTTATCCAAATTTCTTGGCTTAAATTTATTCACAAATAATCGCTCTTTGGTGATCTTCGGGTCATCATTTTTTACGTTTTGTTACAGGTTCTACAGAAGGTAAAAATAGCAATAAATCATGTATTGAAACACTTCCATTAGCCGAATGCATAAAAAAAAACCGCCACCGTGGAATATAAGAAATTCGTTAAAACCAGAAAATTGCAACGGAAACTTTTGGCAACGCAGCCCGTTAAAGTTTCAGGATTATTAACCACGGTCTGATGACCATATTCACTTCAATTGTCGGTTGGTTAACTTTGGACCCTTTGGGTGATCGAAATAGCTTAAACATTACTTTTGCACTTTATCACACCTCTATAGGGATACTCGATTTCGCAATTTACTGCACACAATTTTTATTCTTTTATTTATGTTTAGTTTAGCTCGAATGCCTGTTATTTTAAAGGCAATTTGGTTTCCTAATGGAAACTTGTTTGAGATGCATTTTCAAAAAAGAACTAAGATGCATTTTCAAAAAAGTTTATGAATTCTTAATGACCGTTAATTAGAATAATTCAAGATTTTTCAAATTTAGTAGGATTTCAAAATTATTAAGACTAAATTTACAAACAGACAATATCTTTTTCTTGAAACCGACAACTTTTAAAATAATTATTTATAGTAACGACCATTTTAACAAAACTTCACCCCTGGTAATCATGTAGTTAGTGATTTTTATGCTATAGGCAGTTCCAATCCATTCGAGACTGTCCTATGGGCAGTGATTTATATAATTGACATCTCAATTTGAAATGTTTAACTGGACAATCGTCAATATAAAGAAAGCTCAAGGCGAGCCGTGTTCAAACTAATGTATTTGTCCACGCCAAACATTACTGGCTATACTAATAAAATAAAACATATAGCACCTGTTTCTGTCGGGGTCATTCCTTTTTACATCTTATTTGACCGCCGCTCTTTGCTTTATACAGAGTGTTTAATTTCAAACCCAATCTTGTCTTCTGGTGTGTCTCAAGCTTTCAGGAGTACTTATGGGCTTTGGGGCGTTTCAAAGGCTATCTTTCACAGGTATCCCTGTGCTTTAAAATTGAACAACAAACGCTGCTGCCCAGTGTCGTACATTGGTATACAAAAAATTGTCTTTTTAGAAAACTGTGAGAATTAAAAAAGAAAATAACGTAAAAATGAGGAATTTTGCTTGCATAACGTATTTTCTAAACCACCCTGCTAAGGTGACTAATAAGCTGCAGTGTTTTAATATTATATTCGGCAACTTGTTTTGGGCCTGTAAGAAAAACTCAGCTAATATGCCCCTACAGTATCAAATTTAAATTTCAAAACCGCCGCTTTAAAACAATATAAATGGAGATATATAAAAAAAAATATGGTAGGCTGTGCGCTCACTTGAGTTCATTATGATGTATTGTGTTCACATCAAGCAACTCACTAGCGGATCTAATTACACAAAGAAGACAATTAGACATGTTACTTATCTTGCAACATCGTTGAAGCTCGCTCAACTAGCCATTTTAAGTAAAACCGACAAGGATCGACGTTGAAATTGAAAGAAATGCGCCAGTCTCATTGTGAACCGAATTTATTTATCGCATGGTTTGAATAAACGAGAGATTCCGTATAAAAATTACATTGTGCCAGTCGTACGTTGTCCGTCAATATACCGTCAATTCGATTCAACAAGTTAGGGTCTCTTTTGCGAACCGACAATACGCCTTTTAGACCTAGGCTTCTACTTTACATAGGAAATATATTCCTGATAAAACAAGATCCATATTTTGTCTCTAGAGGAAGCTGCCGTCTTTTGAAATGGCCTGCACGACTCTGAACCGAGTTCTGAACACATTCTCCATGGAGACGACTAGAGCGAATTTAGTTTTTAATCGACGATTAAATAGGTTGAAGAAAATTGTGCTTCCTCAAAAAAAAAATCCTTATTCAATATTAAGGTGCATCAGCATTAGAAGGGTCTTTTTACTTAAAGCGACTTACAAAAATAAAATAAGACCGAGAAATGTTCTTGGCTGAATGTCTTCTTAATCACCTTCGACCAAAGATGGTCAAGTCTGGTAGCAGTTACTGACAGCAGGCCTCTATGAACTTACCCTCGCTTGCCGACGATTGAAACTTTTTCCGGTAGTTGAATCTTCAGTCGTTTTCAAATAAAAAGTCGTTTGTCCAAGTTAGAGAAATTATTTGTCTTTGCTGGTTGCCAATACGTTCTTTTTAAATAAGCACAACTTTAGCAGGTTTTTTTGTTATGCAGAATTAATTGCTTAGAATTTAACAGCGATTAACACGGTATCGCCATAGGAAATTAAATAATTACATTAGAATTAGAACCCCAATATTTGACTTGAAAACGGCGTGATAGTGCACTATAATCGTAAACGATGGATACAATGAAATTTGGTTTACAGCTGGATTTGGTACTCAATAGAGAGATATGGGAGACCATGTTTAGTGCCCGTTCACTAATAATTGCAAGCTGTATCTGAATTAATACCAGGTACTATTTCTCTTTTATTGCAGTGTTATGTAAACCGGCAAAATAAGCTCCTTTGAAATGAATCATTTCAAACTGTAGATTGAATATATTTTATTTCTAAAGTGCTTAATCAATGAATTATGGAATTTGATAATTTAATTTAATTTACTTGTTAAACGATGACAAATGAAATTAAGGTCAATAAGCTCGCATCAGGCTCTCAACAGTATTTATGTTCTAAAAAAAATTGAAATTCTTTACCAGTTGAACAACTAAGCACGAATATTTCAAAAATAACTTACAAGTTCATCCAGAGTATATGGCTCCAGATTAACTAACATATTTCTAACTTTTTTCTTAAAAACAGCCAGACCTTTTATTTGTCCAAATTGTTGGATACTAATAGGTTTCAAAATTCGTGGATACACGAAGGTGTCACGGAATGAACCAAAGTAAAATACAAATCAAATGTTCAAAGAGCGCAGAAATAACGGCAGGCACAAATCTTACTAGTGGCAGGTCTAATTAAAAATGAAAGGCGCATGTGCGTATTTAACAATAAGACGGCGGCACTATTAGTGGCATAGCCGCAATGTGTGTTCCATATTTCTCTATTATATCAAATGTGATCCTATTCTTATTTGCCCCTCTTCGTTCTATTAATAATCGTAGGGCTGTTCAAATTGTACATTTTTGCAGGGAACAGTTAAAATGTATCTTTAGACTTGCAAAATAAAACATTGTTATGAATTCCTACCAAACAAAACGGAAATAACTAAGGGATTCCTATATCCAATTCTGGACGAAAAATGACTAGAAGAAGAAGAAGAAGAAGAATAGTTTCTAAAATTAGCTTAAATCAACTAATAGTTCGTTATTTCAGTTTCTCTTTTCTTCTGTAAAATCAATCAATATCGCACAAGCTGTAGTAACCAACTAATTATTAAAAAATTTGTCTCTTCTTCTTTCGCAATATTGAATGTGTTTTTGCAAATACGTAGATACGAAACTTTCCTCGTAGTAATAACATTGTTAATTCATCTTAGGCGATTCAATTTCATACACAGCAAAAGACAACTTGTTGAACTGAACTGGAGTAAATCATCACTCTGTTCTAAAGCTAATTAAAATAGAGTGACCATTTAAGATGGATGACAATTACCAATACAAAGTCCTAAATATACCAGGCAAATATTTTTTTGCCAAGTCATCAAAAAATTTACTTTTTATATAAAATATATGAATTTAAATCAATTGCGAGCTGCAAGCACATGAAATTGATTTGATTGAAAACATAATTGTTTATGGCCCATGGTCAGTCTGAATCTTATATGCCTTAAAATAACAATTTTTGTTGGCTTGCTTGATTTTTTTCAAAAATGATTTCCGATTTAGACAAAAGAACTTTTCACACGAAACAAATACTAAACCAATGGGTGATATTACGTTGGTCGATAGTGTCGTAAATTAAGTACTTCCAGTGGCGCTTGCGTGTTTAGTAATGGTTCTTGACAGACATAATCGGTACCTTTATAAATGTTGGGTCGGCCTCGTTATTTAGGAGTCCTTTAATTGAAATCTCATGTTTTGCCAGGCACGCCGCCTCTAAGGCCCTTGTTCACTTTTTTTAATTAATTAAATAACGACCCTATAAAATATAATTTGAATGCTACCATTCCGAATAAATATGTTTCCATTTACATATAGGCATTCTATAAGATATTTCTGCCAGTCATACTACATTGCTATGTTGGGACAGATTTTAGCGTCTTGAAGATCACTAATTGGTATAATGCAGAATAACTAAAAAATTCTGCAAAAACCACACATTTTGAAAATATTCAAAACCAAGCAATAATAAAGTTCGTAAACGAAGTCGTTAGTTGTAATCAATCATGTCAATAACATAGCAATTCTAATAATACGTTGTTAATTTCAGGTTACGCGAGGAAACCTTATACTGGCCGGATAGGTAAGCTTGTAAAAATGTATCCACTGTTCTACACGATTAAAATTCTAATTAAATCATGTTCATTACAAAAAAAAGCACTGTGCGAAAAAAAATTGTTGGTAAGTTACCAATTCTTGAAACTAACAGATCCAAGGTAATAAATGTCGTTGCTTGAAGGGTCGCCAAAGAACATCGATCTCTTATTGATTTTATTTTAATGGTTTGTTGGAGGACCGCAGCTTCGATCGATTTGGGCTTCAACAAGCCACTGGTCAATCGAGTTTTTATTTTTGTCACACTGTCGCTGCACCAGACAGCAGGAAGATTTTTGACTTATATCTTTTCGGGCAATTGTAATCGGAGCCACAGTTTACGACATTCTTGACCTGCAAAGCAAGTCAAAATGATTCGAGGAAAGATCTGTCTTTGATAAACTACTGGTGCAAATTTGCGAAGGATTGTCATTTTCATTATTTATTCTGGTTTCTTGGAAGCGAACTGTGGAAGGTTAAAAAATAATTTTATAGCCATAAAAAAGGTAATTTGGAATTCTCTCCAACCCAACCTGCGCAAAAATCTGTACAGCGTTCTTTTAAGGTATAATGAATAAAAAGTATTTGTTACAGATCGAATGATTGGTAATTTCCCCTCAAAGCGGCTACTTAATGGACGACTTAAGGCACAATGTTTCACTCACATATACAGAGTGAGTTTTTTCGATGATACAGTTTCAATGCTCAACTCGAACCCGATGCTAGCTACTCAATATTTGCGAAAGAGACATAAAGAAATTTACTTTTGGTATATACTGTCAAATCACTCTTTGTCCAGCACATCTCAAAATTATAATTTTATTGAGTTATAATGATTTAAAAAGTTATATATTAAATTTCAGTTAAAACATTGTAAACTAGTATTTTTTATGGAAACCATATCTGATGAATAGTCCGCAAAAGAGTCCTTAAGAACAATACAGGGATTTACAGAAACTTAACGAAGCCATTATAAAAGCTTTTGACATTTTTTATAATCGCTGCAAACAGTTTTAAAATGGGCTGATGTACTATGTTGAATTATGAATTTGCTTGAGACTAAATGGAAATTTAGATAAATCGATAGGATAGTTAATTATCGGAAAAAGCAAAGCTACCGACGCCTATAAAAAGCGAATTGACATATAATGAAAATACCGAATTTAGAGAAAAGTGTGTTTAATGAATCAAGTCATTCTAATTTTAACAGATCGAACCAATTAATAGAAAGGAAGGAAGGAAGCAGGTGTGTACACACTGAAGAAAATCCTCATATTGAACACACTGAAATAAAATTAGTTTTGAGACTACCTCATATCTCATAATAACTAAACAGCGCTTGGTTGTGAGTTTGGCCTGGTGACCCAAGCTGACGTCGGAGGAACAGATTTACAAGACTACGAAAGGAAAATAATAACATCGTTTTCAGTTGACCTTTTTTTCAGAGTTTTACATTCTTTTGACTAATTAGTGGAGCTGCTAGCGTTAATCTCTAATGTATGTAATACAAGCACACTTGAAACTTGTCAAGGTGTCATAGGATTTACAACTTCCTGTAGTTAACTGATTTTTTTTAAACCAGTATAAAATGCATTATTTTGAATTTTATCGCTATTCATTCATGGCTAATGAAGACATTTTGGAGACATTTGGTTTGCGTGCGAAAAATGTGGCACGTTGGAAGCGTGCATAATACATATATAAGAATAATAGTTTCAGGTCTTTCACTACAATTCGCGCAAATTAGCCTCATATGCAGCTCGCAAAAACAGATCAGGATGTATCAATATATTGCTGTTTACTATTAAACACCGAAAAAAACAGTCTATTATCAAGGTATCCATATCGCTTTCCTGGTTTAGACAAGACATACTGACAGTATGTCAGTGTAAAAGCTAGTGCTTCTTTGACGAACACCAAATGCAATCCAAGATTATCCGGCACTGTTTTTGTTGCAGTTTTTGTTGCCGCTGTCGCTGCATGAAGCTGCCGAATGCGTCCGTCGCTCAAGCGGAATCGGGCCTTTAGAATTTCTATTAAGCCATTATACTTTAGCACTTTTATAGTAGATATGATCTGGAATAATTTTTTATATATGCTTTCTGAGTTAACCGGCTTTACTTGCATTTTATTACCTATAAACAGAACAGTTGCGGTGGATTTACCTAGTCTACTATGCCTTTTATATAGTATTAGTGAATATAAAACGATGTACTTCCGCAGCATGTTTGACGAATGAGATTTATTTATTTATACCTTTTTTATATGTTCGGTACTCAGTAAATATGGATATTTGACCCAGTATTTTTTGACTGGCTACTCGAGGAGATGCTGAATTCAAAATAATTATTTTCAAATAGTATAGTTTCAAAATTAAATTGTTTTGGTAGAAGACTAAAACTAAATTACAAAACAACTTTTTAGTTTGTTCGCCTTTTTGGATCGACATCAAATCGTACTAAAACAAATACATACCAAGTCCACTTTTAGATAATATGTTGAATTGAGAAGTAACTGGAAAATATTAAACTAAACAATTAACTTAAATAAGAAGTTTTTCCATAAACTATTCCACCTTACATTCAGAAATCTATGTAGATAATCAAGTAGTTATTTTGTCAGTAGGTCTTAAAATTTTATGACAATTTGTCGGTTGCTTCAAGCACCAACAAATGTTTTGTATCTCATCGAACAAACAAAAAATGATGAAGATCTTAAGGTTCAAATTCGCCAGGAACGTATTTTATAAATTTTCAAATTTGTTAAAGAAGCAACCATTGCATATTCTATAGTCGTTTACAAACTGCCAGAATGCCACAAATTTCAAATGCTAAATGGCCCATTTAAGTTCCATTAAACCTAAAACAAGTTTGTTTTTGTTATGGTAGTGCCCCGTTGGCCGCCAAGTGTCGAAGACTCGATTTTTTACACAAAAATATTTTTACGGGTTTTCTAATCGATTGGAAGAATGTTTGGTATGAGTGCGTTTTTCGAAGTCTGCACTCGCGCGGGGCCCATTCATACAAAAAATGTTAAAGCTACGCGGACGATGGCGGTTTCAGTCGCATGCGGCGGCCCTTCTACTCGTATCAGCTCATTAAAACTCATCAGGACCGGAATACCTTGTTTCAACAAAATCATTATGAAAAAAAGATGTCCTTAGATGTTGCTTGTCAGTGCACCCAAATTTGCCTACAGAAAGCTTAACAAGTTTACTTCATCATTACGAAGTGGCAATACTGACTTATCTTTATCAACGATGTTAATTCAAAAAATATATATTTAAGTTCGGCAACTGAAGCTTTCAAGAGGAGTTCATAGTCAAGCGCTCTTTTCCTTCGGAAACAACCGAAAACAGTTATTTAAAGTTGTGTGTCAGGTTTAATTCGACATGAAAGCTGCTACAGCTTAGTTCAATCCTGCAAATATTGACAATGTGTAACTGCTGATCGATCTGTGGACAGCGGCCGTAGTATTTTGGCTGAATACAATTATATGGTCACTTATGCCGACTATTATTTTAAAATAAGACAAAATAAGACGTAGTATCGTTTCTGCTATGACCCGCATGATTTAACCATGAAAGAAGCCACAGCAGAAACGAGTCATTAGATGCTTGGTTAGAAGTCATAAGAATTCAGTCCCAGATAGTCTCCAGCCAATCTTAGTCAGTCTTGAGATATACGAGTCATAAGTCATGATTAAGGTTCGGTTGCAACTAAAATCTGTATTTTTTGTATTAATTTGGAAATAAATTGTTTTTAAAAAGCAAACTTTCAAATTAATCAATAAAATTATACAATAAATATTGTTCGTTTATTTACTCAATAATATCATCAAAGTCCCATCAAAAAGTTATTGTTTTGGTTATTATCGCATGAACGTCTCGAAAGGAATCCTAAACTGTATCAATTTCAGTTTGTCCATAGTGATGCCATGAAAAGGATACTATTAAGTCACTTATTCTTAACGACAATAACGAAGTAAAAATATTCGAGTTAGTAAAATAGCGTTTTGGAAAAGTCCTTTTAAAAAACGCCTACCTCCGTTTTTGTCCAAATGCACACCACAACATGCAAGTAGAATTTAAATAAAAGTCTGAAAAATAAAATGAAATTCGAGTAAAATAAAATTGACCAACGTTTTAGATTATCTGATGTAAATCTTTTAGAGTTTGGCAGTGGTATGATCGAAACTAGAAACTTTAACATAGAAACCATAAACCAATATTGTTACAGCGTTATGGAGCAAATTTTGTGGCAACATGTCATATCGAGCCAGGCAAATGTAAAGCGCAGAAAAAGTTTTCGTTTTGCAGTTATCCAGAGAGGAAGGTTTTTCATAATTTAAAACGAGTAGTAGATGTTCTCATCGATTACTGCTTTACTGGTGACGTTCCCATAAAATGTTTGTACAAGACCTTTCATAAGTTTGGAAGATATCAAATCAAAATATGCTTTATTGCCACAGAAAAAAATACAAATTTTATGGACAATAAATCTATAATAATAATAATCTAAAGGGAGTCTTCCCAATAATCTTTCTTCCCTTGGGGTTTTCTTGCGAAAATCACCGAATACATTTTGTAATTATTGAAGTTGAATGACATCTTCTTTTGTCCGCCCCATGACTTCACTACTCTCTAAACGTATAGTTTGCAGATTGTTTTTTTTTTAGATAGACAAATAGTTCGTTTACAAAATGTTCTTTGTTTGGAAATTATTTTCACATCCTTATGACATGTCCTGTATAAATATTTTATTTTATAATCGCCTTTGTCAATGACGAAACTACACGAATTGAACTGGAACTACAAACTTATTACAACGCACCCGCTACTTCCCATTTTGTATATAAGCTATTGTAAATAATAATTATATTTCGCTTGTTCTATTTTATTTAACTATACGTAACATATTTTCGGCTTCATACTGTGTGAGTTTGAAAAATATGTTAGCCATATAAATTTATTACACAAACATTATCAAG